TCCAACAAGGCCACACCTACTCCAAAATGATCACACCTCCTAAGAGTGCTACTCCATTTGGGGCCAAATTACCACATTCCATTCCCAGGACACCATAGGCTTAGAATCATATCATAATGCAAAATGCATTTATTCCAACTTCAAAATTCCCCATAGTCTATAACTATATCAGCAGCACTATTTAAAATTCCGAAGTTGAAAGTCTCTTCTGAGACTCATGCAGTCTCTGCACTGTAATCCCCTGTAAAATCAAAATCAAAAGGCAGATCAAATCTTCCAAATATAATGGCACAGGATATACATTACCATTCCAAAATGGAGGGAAGGGAACCTAGTAAGGAAATACCGGACCAAAACAAGACCAAAACCCAGCTGGGCAAATTCCAAACTCTGCATATCCATGCCTGATATCATGTACTCTTCAGATCTTTAACTCCTTTCAACTTTGCTGACTGAAGCATACTTCTTTCTTTTGGGCTGGTTCCAATCCCTGTTGGTAGCTCTCCTCAGGAGTTATCCCATGGCTCTGGCATCTCCAACATCATGGGGTCTTCAAGGTAATTCAGGCTTCACCTTCACACAATGGCTTCTCTGGTCTCCATGCAGGGATACCCCTGACACATGCCTGGCCTCAGTAGCTTTCCTTAGCCATGGAGGGAGATTCCATGGACACTTTCTTGCATTCTTGATTCTAAAACCAGAACCATTTGGATGAAGCTGCCAAGTTCTGCTGCTTGCTGGGGTTAGAACATGGGCCCCTCTTTCAAATACATTTCTACCACCTTTCTGTTTTCAATACTTTTATTCATTGCCTAAGCTTAGTTGTTCTGGAACTTACTCTGTAGAGCAGGTTGTTCTTAACTCAGAGTTCTGTCAGCGTCTATCTTCCAAGTGCTGAGATTAAAGGTGTGTATCACCATGCCTGGACCTAAGCTTTTTTTAAATTCTTTTTCACAAGTTGGAAGCTTAGCACGGTGGGGTCTTGCTCTGAGGTCACCACTCCCTTTATTTACCATCAGGTTTTTATTTAATCTGTTTACATGTCCTGGTGCCGACTTACTCCTCAAACTGTAAATTTTGTATTTTTCCTTGTTTAGCTTCTTCCTTTTCATTGTAGATCTTAATAAGCATCACTACTAATAACCAATCAACAGTCAGTAATAGGCTGTCAGGGAATCTCCTCTGCCAAAGCTGTTCAATCATAACTATTAAGTTTATCCTCAGGCAAATTTTTCTGGACAAGGGCAGAAAGCAGCCACATTCTTTGCCAAACTATCACAAGAATGATCTCTAGGTCAATACTAATATTCTCCCCCCGAAACCTCTTCTGGACTTCCACAGTTCAAACCACCTGGATTACCACTGTCTTTTATGCTCCTACTAGCATGACCCATTAAGTCCTATTTAGTGTCCAGTTGATTTTCTAGTAAAAAAAATCCCAAAGTGTTCCATATTCCTCCAAATAAAAACATGGTCAGGCCAATCACAGCAATACTAGAGTCTCTAGTACCAAATTTTCTTAGGGTTTCTGCTGCTATGGTGAAACACCATGATCAAAAAGCAATATGAGGAGGAAAGGGTTTATTTGATGTACACTTTTATATTGCTGTTCATCATTGAAGGAAGTCAGGATAGTAACCCAAACATGGCAGGATGCTGGAGGCAGGAGCTGATGTAGAAGCCATGAAGGATGGAGCTGATGTAGAAGCCATGAAGGATTTCTGCTTACTGACTTGCTTCCCATGGCTTGCTCAGCCTGCTTTCTTATAGCACCCAGGACCACCAGTCCAGGGATGACACCATTTCCAGTGGCCTGGGCCCTCCCATATCAATCACTAATAAAGAAAATGCCTCACAGCAGGATCATTTGGGGACAATTTCTCAATTGAGGTTTTCTCCTTTCTGATAACTCCCGTTTTTGTGTCAAGCTGAGATAAGAGTAGCTAGTACAGTCACAGAGACTTATTGGTTCAGACTGTTTAAAGAAATTTCTTACTTGGTACTGGTGGTATAGGCCTGATTGAGGCTTTTGTGTCATAGGTGCATTACATGTTCAAGGCCTGTCTGGGCTCTAAAGTGAATAAACGTTTAGTTTGGCCTACTTATTGTGTCCCGTATTTTTATTACAACCAAAAGAGTTTTGGGGGTATAGCTCAATTGATATAAATCATTTACCTAGCATGCATGAGGCTCTAAATTTAATCCCTAATATTGAACAAGAAAGAAAGGATTTATGTTATTTCATGGACATAGATTTTATTCAGCTAATATGAAAAAGTGCAATCTTTATGAAGCCATTAAGTAAGACAAGAGCAGCAAACCTAGGGAAGGAAGGTGATCTGATTTTAAAAATATTTGCCACATTATATTACTTAAAGTACTCATTTTTGGGTTATTGGGTGGGGGGTTGGGAGGACTGGTGGGGGGGGAGGAGAGAAGGGGGAGGGAGCTGGGATTGACATGTGAAGCAAGCTTGTTTCTAATCTAAATTAAAAAACTAAAGTTGATATGACATAAAAATACTCATTTTTTTTCAAAAAAATGTGACACATGGAATGAAGTTGCAAAAAAAGCAGTTCACTAATAAAAGTAAAAGAAATTAATAGAAACTCTTCCTGGGAGATCTCAGATAATTGATTTCTTTGACAAATACTTTAAATTAGTTATTTAATATATATTCAATTAAAGGAAGCTGTCAAAAAAGCTGAAGGAATAGATGAGAACAATTTTCACAAAATAGAGAAAATCAATATAAAGACTTTAAATATTTTAGAGGGAAACAGCTAAATGTCTGTATTTATTGGGACCCTATTCCTTTTACTGGGTTGCCTTGCCCAGCTTTAATACAAGGGGCGGTGCTCAGTCTTACTGCAACTTGATATGGCATGTTTTGTTGATACTCATGGGAGACCTGCCCTATCCTAAACAGAAATGGAGTAGGGGATGGGGTTCAGAGCAGATGTATGAGAAGGTATTGGGAGGAGCAGAGGTTGGGGAAACTGCAGTAGGGATGTCTAATCAAAGTATAGTAAATAAAATTCACCACAGTAGCTCAGTATCAGATTTGTACAGTGAATAAAGGATCAACAAATCTAAGGATAAGTGAATTGAGGAAAAGAAAGGAAAATAATTGGAAGCATTTACTTGAAGACTTGGAACATTTACTGTGTTGTGGATTAAAAATGACTGTTGTTTCTTGTCTGTTCTATTGTGTTAAATAAAATTGAATGGAGGAATATAGGAGTGATGGGCAGTTAAGAAAAGTGAATTAAGGGCTTGACAGATGGCTCAATGATTAAAAGCATTTGCTGTTTGATCTTCCAGAAGACATGGATTCCATTACCATTGTTCACATGGTAACTTACAACTATCCATAATTTCAATTCCAGGGGATCTGATGCCCTCTTTTGACCTCCACTCAAGAAGTGTAGAAGATATTCTTTTCAAGTATATGTGGAATATTCTTCAAGTGTTCATACATTAAATCAGAAAATTAGGTTTTAATAAATACAGGCAATAAAAATATAAGGATTTATTTCCTGACCACAGTGGATTAGCTACCAATAACAGCAAGTTTTGAAATTTACAAATTTGTGGAAATTAAATAGCACATTCTGAAATAGTCAGTACATTAAGGAGGGAAACTATCAGAAGTCTTTTTGCTTAAAAAAACACTAAGCTGGGCGGTGGTGGCACACGCCTTTAATTCCAGCACTTGGGAGGCAGAGATAGTCTGTGAGTTCGAGGCCAGCCTGGTCTACAGAGTGAGTTCCAGGGTAGCTTCTAAAACAATACAGAGAAACCCTGTCTCGAAAAACCAAAAAACCAAAAAACCCCCACTAATTTAGGGGCTCAATATGCTTGTGCAGGCCTGAGTATAATTCTAGAACTCAGGAACCTTAGTGAGGCCAGCCTCAACTACGTAGTCAGAAACTAGCTATCTATCTATCTAACTAACTAACTAACTAACTAACTAACTAACTAACTAACTATCTGGACACATTTGTTTGCTTCTATATGTTCTGAGAATATGTTCTGAGAATGTACTTGATGCTTGTGGTGGGAAGTTGAGGAATTTGAAAACACAATGAAATCTATTTAGTTTATCTTGTGTGTATAAAGAAATTGAAATCCAGGGTGGAGAACTGAATGACTGTCACACTGCCAGTAAGTGACAGAATTGGCTGTAGAAGGGGAGAGATGTTAGAATTATCTACTTTGTATGCATACCCCACTTTTGCAACATAATTTCATTGTTTTAGAGAACTACACACTAAAGTAGATATGATCATGCCAGTTGATAGGTAAGGCAGCTGAAGCTCAGAGGGGTCAAGACCTTTGCATAAAGTTACTCAGAAAATGATGGCACAAAGCTTCCAATCCAGGCCTACTTTTCTCTAAAATTTGTGTTTCTTCTTTTTCTCCATGTTGCTTACAAAACCACAATCCTTATTATCTCATACCCTATCTGATACTCTAATTTATAATTTATACATTAGTTCCTTCCTGATCTGTAATCCTGTAAAATCTATCCACAGGTAATCAGTAGGAATACTTAAAAACATAATGCAAGGAGGTAGATTTACCTTTAAGATTAAGGAAGAAACTTACATAACTTGTTTTGTTTTTTTGAGACAAATAGAGATCTTATAGCCCATGCTGGCCTTGATCTCATTGTTTAGCAAACCTTGAATTTATGATCCTAACCCTTTTGTTTGTCCATATAATGAGAGAAGCCTCATATATCTTTAAGTGTTACTAGAAGGATTAAATACAGTGTTAGTTTTGAAATAACTAGTTGGGGATTATCAGAAAAGGAAAGAAAAAGAGGAGAAATAGTAGGTACTTAACTTGTTCCCCTGCTCACCTTAGATTTCATGTCATTCTCTAGTGGCTTGGTGAGATTAAGGAACTGGTTCCTATTTCAACTTGCATAGATCTTTGCCTACTCATCAATATGCACAATTACTAATTTTCTTTATGTTTTATTCTCTCATCAGCTGAATCATTCAAGGAATTTGCTGAATTGCTCAATGAAGTAGAAAACGAGAGGATGATGATGGTAGGTCACTGTATTAGTAGGGGTTCTGTAAATGAACAGAACCAATTAGGTGAGTATACATTCAAAGGGAATGTGTTAGATTAGCTTACACTATATGTGATATCTAGTCCAACAATGACTCTGTTCACATCAGAGAGACTGGGAACTTAGTAGCTGCTCAATAAATGAGGCTAGATGCAGTCCCAATATAGCACTGAAGAATTTATGGAGAGTGTCTGGTGTTTAGTACATGTTGGAAGGCCAAGAACCTGAGTTCTAATGTCACCAAAGGATGGCAGGCTCAGCAGTAACGGGGTAGACGTGTTCACCAGCAGACAGTGAAGGTGAGCTTTTTGCTCAGACCACTTTATATCGGGGGCACCACTTTGGGAGATGGTCTTCCTGTTCAGTTAATCTTTCCATGATGTTCTGTCACAGACACACCTACAGTTGTTCTCTTACTGGATCCCAGTAAGGTAGACAGGCAAATTAACTATACTAATGTCTTTTGTAGAACAGAACTATAATTTTATTGAAGCTCTATTCGTTTTTTATTTGGATTTTTCTTTTAAAATATTTTTTGTGTATGACTTTTTTTTTGCCTGCATGTGTGTTTGTGTCTCATATGCATGCATGATACCTGCAGAGGCCAGAAGAGGGATCACCTGGAATTGAACTTATATATAAGTGTAAGTCAACAATGTAATTGGGGTCGTTTGAAAGAGCAGTTAGTGCTCTTAACTGCTGAGTCACCTCTCTACTCTCCATTGTTTTCTTTTATAGATCTTGCTTTTGGAATGTAGACTAGTCATCATGTAAGGACATCTACCTTATTCTGATATCTCTTAGGAGTTTAGTGTATTTAGGGCCATGATCCATTTTGAGTTTCTTTTTAAGGATTCAAGACTTTTATTTTATTTTTTTACCTTGTGGGTATCTAGTGGTCCACGTTTCTCCACACCCATTCCAGTATTTGTTGTTGGTTGTTTTGTTGATCTTTACGGGTATGACTGGGGTAAGGTGAAAGTTTAAGTTGTTTTGATTTGTATTTTCCTAGTTGTTGGAGTTAGTGAGAATATTTTGAAATATGTTTTAGCCATTTTTTTATGACCTCTCTGTTCAGATCCCAGGATCATTTTGTTTGAATTGTTCATTTGTAGTTTTGACCCTTTGTCTTTCTTTTTGAGTTCTAAATATAGTCTAGATATTAATTCCCAATCAGATATACAAATGACAAAGATTCTTTCCATTAAATTTCCTGAGACTCCTTTTTACCCAGATGATTGTTTCTTTAGCTGTGCAGAAGCTTTCGAGTTTTAGTAAGTCCAGACACTCACGTGTTGTCCTTAATTATTGAACAGATGGAGTCTTATTCAGAAAGTCCTTTCCTACACCTATATGATATAGGTACTGACTATGTTCTCTTCTAGTAGTTCCAGTGTTTGAGTTTTAAGATTTAGGTCTTTGATCAATTTGGAATTAGTTTTTGTACAAGGTGATAAATACAGGTCTAGTTTCATTCTTTTGCATGTGGAATTATAGTATTTCAAGTACAATTTGTTGATGATGTTTTCTTTTTTCCAGAATATATTTTTGCAAACTTTGTTAAATTGCTGAAGTTATTTGTACTCATGTTTGGGTCTTCAATTTTGTTCTGTTAGTCTACATGTTTGATTTTTGCCAGTACCATAAGTCCTTTTATTACTATGACTTTTATTTTATTTTGAATTTTGTAATGGCAATCTCTCCAGCATCATTCTTTTTGCTAAGGACTGTTTGACTATCCAGGGTCTTTTGTGGTTCCATATTAGTTTCAGGATATCTTTTTCTATTTCTGTGACAAATGAGATGGGGATTTTGATTAGGATTGCATTGAGTCTGTAAATGGCTTTTGGTAAAATGGTCATTTTTCACCATATTAATCTATCTAGCTATGAGTGGGAGGCATTTTTCCTTTTTCTATCTCTGTCTTCAGAAATGTAAAGTTTTCATTGTAAAGAGACTTCACCTCCTTGGTTTTGTTTATTCCTAGATAGATTATTTTCTTGGAGGCTATTGTGAATGGGATTGTGTTCCATGATCTCCTGTATAAAGAAAAGGTTTTGATGGGTACAAGCTGATTCTGTGTTCTGCCATCTTGCTGAATTTGTTTATCATTTCTAGAAGTTTTCTGGAAGAAAATTTGACATATCTAATGTATAATATATCATCTGTAAATGGTGATAGTATGACTTATTTTACTATTTGTATATTTAATCTCCTCTTATCTTGACTTGTTCAAAACAATTTATTTTGGGTGTCAAGGAATGGGTTTATTTGGCTAAAATATCTTGAATCACCTCCAACCAAGGAAGGCAGAACTCTTCCATGGCCTCTGCATTAGCTCTTGCCTCCAGTTGCTCACCTGGCTTGAATTTCTGCTTTGGCTTTGAGTTCCTGCCGCTTTCCAGCACTGTGGTACTTGCTTTTCAGAGTACTGCTACTATTACCTCAGGTCCTAGAGAAGCATGATTGAAGATAGGCTTTGAGGGTAGGGTATGTAGTATTTGATTCTGACTCAGCCACTAACTCACTTATTGACTTTGTACTAATCAGTTTATCCTTCTAGCCCTTCCTTTACTCTCTTGGAAAGTAAGGAAAATGATCGCCACTCTTCTTGTTATGAAGTAGTCTAAATGACATAAGAGTATTTTATAAAGGTGAAAAACATTGATTATATAAGCATTACTTTGACTAATCTCTGGTTGTTCATAAGAAGTGACAGAAATTATCTGACTTCTGAAATTTGCTTCTAAAGACAGTAAGGGGAGATAGACAAGAGTGCTTTCACTAAAGCCTCATAGGTGGCCTACTAGTGCAGACAGACAGACTTCATTGGGTATTGTCTCCTGTCAGAGCATCCCTGTCTCACTGCCCATGCTGTTCTTAGAGGCACTCAGCTCTGGCTCATTCAGCTGCCACTAGAAAACTCAGCTGCCATTCTCCACAGCACTTCATCTCTTTCATTTTCTTGATAGCAAAGCTTTATAGTACTGGAAAAATCTGTTGAGATTTTGTTTTCCTTACTCTTCTTCTTTGTTCTGTGCCACACATTTATGTTTAACAGTTTCTCATTCTTTCTAAAATTAGAATACAAAATAGATTTTTCATGACAAACAATAAGGAAGTTCATGGTCTGAGAACATGGCAATAGTCCTTGCCTGGCCATCTCCATAAATGAATGTAGATTGTGGCAGGAACTCTGAAAACAGAAATGATGGGGTATCCCAGCTGTGATGTTCTTCAGAGTACTACTGGGTAGCTGTAGTATCTCAGAAGTGGTGTGGAAGTGGCTAGATTGTAGAGTTCCTGTATATGAGGAAGTCTGTCTGTATGCTCTTCCTACTGAAAAGGGAGTTTTGTTGGTGATGTACAAAGTCCATGTTTGAGGAATGAGGGAAATAACATTAACAGGTCTGTGCTTCTTCCATGTATTCTTGAAGTCAATTTTGATAGCTTATTTACCACAAATGATTCCTGAGCAATCCTGTAGTACTGGAGAGAATACCATCCCTATTTAGCTAGACATTGTTCAGCTATAATTTTATCTTTATTCTGTAGGAGCCTGATTCTATAAACTCTTACTGAATTTAGGTTGGGGCTTCTTATGGTTAGGTTCCTATCTAGATACAGAGTTGCAGCTGGAAATTTATTTTTAACAGAGAGCTCACAAAATGTAATGCAGTGGTCAGAAAGACAATTAAAGACAAAGCTTTCTTAAAAGGGAATATTTGAGTGATAGCTGAACTTCTAAGAAATTTAAGGTTAAATAATGAAAGAAGAAAAGACACAAGGGTTCAGCATGTTTTGTCCCCATAGCCCCAGCTTTGTTCTAGCAGAAAATAATATTTTCACAACTGGCTATTTTAACAAGATTCACAAAATTAGTTTGTAGTGTGGGAGACTTGGCAATGTCACCAGTTCAATTCTGCAAAGCATGGCAAATATGCGATTTGTCTGGATTGTCTGTTAAGAGTTGTTTATATACTTGTTTGTTCAGGACAGTTCCTTTGAACATGAAAAACTAGAAACTTTGCCATCGCAGGACCATCTGAATATACAGACCCAATTGGGAAATCATATAAATTATTACTATGTGGCACTCTTTTTTATTTTTATTAAAATAAATTATGTCTTAGAAACATGCATGCATGTTTCACATGTCTGTCCCAGCTCCCTCTCCCACCCCTCATCCCTTGTCCTTCCACCAACCCTTCCCCAACCCCCTTCCCAATCCTCACATCATTTCCTAGGGAGGCTGAGGCCCTCCTTGGGGGGATCTCCAGAGTCTGTCATTTCATTCAGGGCAGGACCTAGGCCCTTCCCATGTGTCCAGGCTGAGAGAGCATCCCTCCATGTGGAATAGGCTCCCAAAGTTAATTTGTACGTCATGGTAAACACTGATCTACTACCCCAGGCCCCTGAGATTTCTGAGGCCTACTCACTGAGACTATATTCATGGAGTCTGGATCAGTCAGTTGCCTGTTGGCCTCTCAGCCATCAGTCTGGGGTTCAAGAGCTCCCCCTTATCCGGTCTGCTGTCTTTGTGGGTTTCACCAGCCTGGTCTTGACACCTTTGCTCATCACTCCTCTATCTCTGTCACTGCGTTCCAGGAATTCAGTTCAGTGATTAGCTGTGGGTATCTGTCTCTGCTTCCATCAGTCTCTGGATGAAGGTTCTAGGATGGCATATTATTATTATTATTGTTGTTGTTTTTGTTTTGAGACAGGGTTTCTCCGTATTGCTTTGGAGCCTGTCCTGGCACTCACTCAAACTCACAGAGATCCACTTGCCTCTGTCTCCCGAGTGCTGGGATTAAAGGTGTATGCCACCAACGCCCGGCGAGTAAAATTATTTAATTATAGGCAATTTGTTTGTGGATCAGGAATTTAAGATCATTGAGTATTTCTTCTTCTTTTTCTTCTTATAGTTAACACTCATTGAACACATGACTTGTCTTAGTTCTTGGTGGTATTCCTGA